TTTGTCTTAATATAAATTTTCAGTTCAAATAATTTATGTTTAAATTTTTTGTGTTATTAAAGTTTTCTACTTCACGGGTGCACATAATTCAAGGGTAAAGAATGAGTATTTGCTATCTTAAAATTATTCTTTGATAACATATTTTGTCATTAAATTATTTGTTCAAAACTTAAATTAATAAAATCTTATTTATGATCAACTAAGATTGAATGAACTAACTATATTATCAATTAAAAAGACTTATTGTCAAAATTTGAATATAAAAATTTGATCAATATTTTACAATTCCAAAAATAAAAAAATAATTTTTAAATAAATAAAAAATAAAATTATAATAATTAAAAATATAATATATTAATAGACAAAATAGTAATTGGACCTCATATGAAATTTTTGCTTAGGGTCCCGCTTTACCTTGGGTCTCCCCTAATCCATGGAGGGAGAGGAGAGAGACGAGGTGGTGGAAAACGATGGTGGGTGGAGAGAGAAAAGAGGGATAAGGCAATGATTGGTCCGCAAAGAGAGGGGGAGAGGGTTATGATATTGATTGAGAGAGAGAGAGAGAGGGAGAGAGATAGTGAGTGAGTTTTTTTATATGAGGAGAGAGAGCGGGTTAACGAGAGAAAATTTAAAGATACGGCTAAATGGTCATTCCATAGTGCCTAAAGGGGTATTTTGGTAATTGTATCTTAATTAAGAAAATATCTTGTATTTTGGGGTATTTTGGTCTTTTAATCAATTCCGTTGGCTTCGTTTTCTACTCGTCACCCGCAATAAGTTTGAGTGTAATATTTCAAACGTGAGGGGACTATATGATTGAATGACAAACTTTAGGGAGTCCGAATATAATTTATCATAATGTTAATTCTTAGTGTAATTACGTTGCTAAAAAATTATTTATTTTTATTAATCAAAGTAAAACATGTGCATAAATTTGTATATTTTATCATTTGAATTTATTTTATTATTTCTACAATCAATAATTACAAATAAATCAAGACAAACTTTAAAACTAATTTTTTTTTTTTTGATACGAGTGCAAAGCAATAACCTAGTGCGATCCATTACTACCTTATGCCAGGTACTTGTTTGTGGTTTCGCATTCATTAGCACGATTGACCATTCGTCTCACTCTCTTTATTATTTGACCAATCAGCAAAAGCCAAACCAAACTGTACTTCCTAGACCAATGGACCCATATTACTGTACTGTATATCTAAAATAGAACCACAAAATTGAACATTCAGGTATGTTTGATTGTATTTTAAAAAATAGTATCAGAAAATAATTTTTTAGAAGAGTTTTAAGAAAGTGTTTTTAAAAAATTTAGTTTGTAAAACTTGTTTGATTATATATTTTTGAAAATAGTTTTAAAGAACAAAAAATTATAAAATCTGTTTAGACAATAATATACAAAACCCACAATTTCCATCTCTCTCTCTTTCCCCTTTCTCTGTCTCCACAAAACACTCACACACACCGATGCATACACACACTCACACATACAGATGCATACACACACACACACACTCACACAAATATGTGCTTATATCTGAAGCTTCAGTTGTTATTAGAGAGAGAGAGAGAGAGAGAAATAAGATATAAAGTTTTAGTGGTTGCGGTGGAGAAGAAGTTGAAGTGAGAGAGAGTTTCAGTGGTTGCAGTGGCGAAGAAGAATGAAATATTCTCCATTTTTTTGTCTCCAACGAAACTCGAAGGGGAGACCTTATTAGTTTGGAAATAAGTTGTTTCTCGTGTTTTCAGTTTGCTTTAGAAAACAATGAGAACACAGTATTGTTGTTCTCTAGAATCACATTTCAATTTCTAAAATTTTTAAAAAATTGGAGAAGAAAAAACAAAAAAAAAATAATATCCCCTTGTTTTTAAAATTTTGAGAACAAAAAACTATTTTCAAAAACCAAACCAAACAGACCCTCAATTTTTTGGGAATTTTATAAAGGGTCAATAGTATTTTTGTGTTTCCAAAATATGTATTTTTTTATCAGTTTAGTCATCAATGTATTAATTTTATCAATTAGATCCCTAAATTATTTAATTCGTGTCATTTTAATTTCTACATAGACGGACTGTTAAATTTTTGACAGAATAATAATGTGTTAAGCATGCTTGAAGAGGAGGCAAAGTGAATTACAAAGATAGGACTCCGAAAACCATTCCCTCTAGGCCGATAATTTTGTATTTTTTATTTTTAATTTAACAGTCAAGAATATCCTAATCCGATTATTCAACTTGATCATACCAATTCTCTCCTATAAGTATCAAAGATTGGACACCCTTTTACATTTGAAGTGTGATTCCACATTTTTGACCCTAATGTATAAATGTTTGTATTTCGTAATTTACCCCTCAAAGACTGAAGTGACCAAAATACCCTTTTCTTATATTCTCCCATTGGTCCCATTCGAGGATGATGCCCTAAACTCNTTATGCCAGGTACTTGTTTGTGGTTTCGCATTCATTAGCACGATTGACCATTCGTCTCACTCTCTTTATTATTTGACCAATCAGCAAAAGCCAAACCAAACTGTACTTCCTAGACCAATGGACCCATATTACTGTACTGTATATCTAAAATAGAACCACAAAATTGAACATTCAGGTATGTTTGATTGTATTTTAAAAAATAGTATCAGAAAATAATTTTTTAGAAGAGTTTTAAGAAAGTGTTTTTAAAAAATTTAGTTTGTAAAACTTGTTTGATTATATATTTTTGAAAATAGTTTTAAAGAACAAAAAATTATAAAATCTGTTTAGACAATAATATACAAAACCCACAATTTCCATCTCTCTCTCTTTCCCCTTTCTCTGTCTCCACAAAACACTCACACACACCGATGCATACACACACTCACACATACAGATGCATACACACACACACACACTCACACAAATATGTGCTTATATCTGAAGCTTCAGTTGTTATTAGAGAGAGAGAGAGAGAGAGAAATAAGATATAAAGTTTTAGTGGTTGCGGTGGAGAAGAAGTTGAAGTGAGAGAGAGTTTCAGTGGTTGCAGTGGCGAAGAAGAATGAAATATTCTCCATTTTTTTGTCTCCAACGAAACTCGAAGGGGAGACCTTATTAGTTTGGAAATAAGTTGTTTCTCGTGTTTTCAGTTTGCTTTAGAAAACAATGAGAACACAGTATTGTTGTTCTCTAGAATCACATTTCAATTTCTAAAATTTTTAAAAAATTGGAGAAGAAAAAACAAAAAAAAAATAATATCCCCTTGTTTTTAAAATTTTGAGAACAAAAAACTATTTTCAAAAACCAAACCAAACAGACCCTCAATTTTTTGGGAATTTTATAAAGGGTCAATAGTATTTTTGTGTTTCCAAAATATGTATTTTTTTATCAGTTTAGTCATCAATGTATTAATTTTATCAATTAGATCCCTAAATTATTTAATTCGTGTCATTTTAATTTCTACATAGACGGACTGTTAAATTTTTGACAGAATAATAATGTGTTAAGCATGCTTGAAGAGGAGGCAAAGTGAATTACAAAGATAGGACTCCGAAAACCATTCCCTCTAGGCCGATAATTTTGTATTTTTTATTTTTAATTTAACAGTCAAGAATATCCTAATCCGATTATTCAACTTGATCATACCAATTCTCTCCTATAAGTATCAAAGATTGGACACCCTTTTACATTTGAAGTGTGATTCCACATTTTTGACCCTAATGTATAAATGTTTGTATTTCGTAATTTACCCCTCAAAGACTGAAGTGACCAAAATACCCTTTTCTTATATTCTCCCATTGGTCCCATTCGAGGATGATGCCCTAAACTCAATTGTGATGCCGGGAGTGATATGTCATTTGCTTGGCCTTTCCCATCAACTAAGTAATCCAACTTCTGAGGTTCAATATGGCTGATGTATGCATGCCACAACCTAGAAAAGCAACATAACCATGATCAGATGGTCGCATGCTTTTAGATAGAAGTGGACAAAAAGGGAAGGGTTGCATTGTGGACTAAATATTTGATATAATAGTTGATATCACATAGTCACGTGATATTATTGTTCAATAAAAAATTTAAAATTAGGTAAAGTATGTCCTATGAGCTTTTACATGCCATAGTTATTATATTACATGAATTTATTGTTATTTGATTGTGTGAGATTTTACTTGTCTATTTGTTAACTTATTATTAAACTAGCGATATCTCGTAATTGAAGTCACTGTATATTAAGTTATGCATGCGTATAGCTAGAGTGTGTATATAATGAGTGTATGTAGCTGCATATTTGTGTTGAGTTTGTGAAATTTATGAGGAAAAGTAAATGATAGGTTTGCAAAATTTGAAGGAAAAATATACCCCTATAATCTTATTATATAGATGTTGCCTCTTGGTAACAATACCAATGTAGTATTACCGATATATTGAATTTTCTTTTTCCATCGTGAGTGAATATAGACCAGCAGTTGTGGATTATTCCAACACATTGGGTCACACTGGATATTTTAAGTAAGCACATTAGGTATAGATACATTCTACCATATTAAACTAGTCACGTTTCACCAAATCAGACAAAAAGTAGTAGCTAGTGATTGTTTAATTTCACCCAAATTGACAAAATTTCTCCAGAGTAATGGTAATGAGATTTAAAAAATTTACAAAATTTTTTAATTTAATGATGTAACAGTAATATAATCTAATAGTATTATTGTGATTGTAAATTTTGAATTTCTTCATATGAACTCCATCATTTTTTATATTATTATGTTAAGAAATTAGCTCAATTTTTTAAGTCCCTCAACATCATTACTCCTCTTTCTCTATTTCAATAGAATAATTTTATTTGAATATAATTTATTGACCTAATTTATTATAGTTCTTAAATTAACTGGTTCCAATCAAACATTAAAATTTAATGATAATTCAACTGTTACAAGCTATGCATTACTCCCTTTAATATGGTTCAATGGATGGCATTCTTGATAATTTCTAGAAAATCAAGGTTCGTTTTGATGGCTAGCTTTATAAATGAAGTCTTCCACGTATGGAACTCGCCAAACTCCGAAGACAACAGCTCCTTAGTCTTCACTCCATCTGTACAAATAAAGTCATCCCTGCTGTTTCCTTCTAATACATCCACTTCTTCCCCAGAGAATAACGAGAGAGAGAGAGAGGCAAAGATGACAACCAGCATGCATTATCAAGTTGATGATCAAATAGCACTCATTTCTCAGTATTATCCAGGCATATATACCCAACTGGTACCAGAACAAGGTCAGTACATTGAGCACAAGAAACCTTTAAGCCAAGCAGTACTTAGCACTTAATTAATATAAACTTTTGACAATTTTTAGAAAAGGTTCAATCGAGAAGAAGACGTAAGAAAAGCAAAGGAGACGCCTCTAGCCGTAGTGGAGTGAGAAAGAGGAAGCTGAGACAAGAACAAGTCAATATTCTTGAGAAGAACTTTGGAAATGAACATAAGTTGGATTCTGAAAGAAAGGATAGGATTGCTTCTGAGCTTGAACTTGATCCACGCCAAGTGGCCGTTTGGTTTCAGAACAGAAGGGCAAGATGGAAGAGTAAGAAAATGGAGGAGGAATACTCCAAGTTAAAGAAGGAAAATGAGAGCACTGTTGTAGAGAAATGCCGGCTTGAAACTGAGGTACATGATACAGCTCTCTCAGTCTCTCTCTCCCCCCTCACACACACATCAATTTCAGTATGTGTATGACATTATTCTTTCTCTTGATGATTCCTTAACTATCCATTTGGGTACGCCGTAGAGAGACCGTGGGGAAAGAAGTGACAGCTATTCTTTTTGCGGGTTCGGTCAGATTCCGAGTTTTCCTTTGTTTTCTTTCCCATATGTATTTTTTTTCCTTACTATTTGTGGAGTTTACTTTATTTTTTCGATCAAGAATACTAAGGATGAAAATATCATTTCAACCGATTATTTCGTAACCTAAGAAATGAAAATCCTTCGAAACGTTACGAAAATATGATAAAAACAAATAAAAAATTTAAATTTAAAACATTTTATATCATTAGTCTAAATATATTAAATCACCTTAAAATAGTTCAATATATTTTAAAATGTTAGTGAAAATATGTTGATACATCCTAAGACAACTCAAAATATTTCGATATAAATCGAAGTATTAAAACTTTTATTTAATCACTGATTCTTTCATCTCTTTAAAAACAGAAATATTTTGACTATTTTAAAATAATATATTTTATTCTCGAGTATAGTATTTTACCTCTCAGTTTCTGAAATGTCTCTTGTTTATTATTTCCGCACTTTATTTTAAGGAATTATTTTTTCAGCTTTTATTCAAATGTTTGAGTCAAGAACTTCCTGAAGACTATAAAAGTACAGAATTTTATATAGAAATAAAGACAATATACCCAACACCATGGAAAAAAAACACAGGAGTCTGATGACACAATGAACCAGTGGAAAATTGACAACTAGGAGGCGGTCTAGCCATTAGAGAACAAAAGATGTTACATGCTGAATTCCCAAGGATCCGTACACAGTTGTTTAGGGTGGCGGCTGTTTGGCCACTCGCTGCCCAGTGGAGCAGCACATGCTATTTTTATCCCAGGTGAGATCGTTGATGTTGCTGATTGCACAAAACCCATTTAGTGTATTATAAGTACAGCACAAAGAACTCCACCGGAAATCGAAAAAAAGTTATCTTGTTTGGGTGTCATTTTAGAGTAACACTTAAACTATAATTTTATGCCAATTAAGATCTTAATTTTTTTTTTGTTAACAATTTAGTCTCTGAACTGTTTAATTATGTCAATTGATTTATTTTGTTTCTCTCTGTTAGATTTTCTAACAAAATGTGATGAAGTGTGTCACTCACGTGACACAAATAGTTTGAATAAATTACACATATAATATTCAAATGATGATCTTTATGTCAATTAAATTCTTGATTTTTTTTTTGTGTCAATGCATCTGAACTCTCCAGTTGTATCAATTGAACCATTTTATCTTTTTGTGTCATTGTCACGTGAGTGACACACTCTAATGGAGGCAAACATATTAGCTCAATTGACCAAAAAAAAAATTCAAGAGTTTAATTAATACAAACATTATTGTTTGAGGATTATATGTGTAATTTATCCTTAATTTTATAAGATTCTGACAGTAAGTGAGTGCATCTATTAAATCCGTTAAATAAATAAGTTATAATGTCACACAAATCAAATTAGAAACACACAATTTTAGGTAAATATATTACTAATCTTGAAAAACTATACACGAGTTTTAATGAATAATGTTTAATTGAGTAAATTATGAGAAATCATGATTTACAATGATTAATAGGACACAACACCACTCAACTCATTTGAGATCCCTAGTTATAAATTCAAAATCCTCGTTATTATCTTTATTTAACAGCAGATTACTGAATTTAATCAGGTATTGAAGCTCAAGGAACAGTTGTCAGAAGCAGATGGGAAGATTCAGAGGCTATTGGAGCGCTGTAATGGGGTTTCAAGCAACATTCCTTGTCCATTATTCTCAATGAACGCCATGGAGCCACCTTTTCTTGGGGAGTTTGGGATGCAAGGGTTGGAAAATGTGTTTTACGTGCCAGAGAACAATTACATTCATGGATTAACGGAGTGGGTTAATCTTTATAATATGTGATTAAGTTAAGCATTCTAGTTTGTAGATGTGTGACCATCTATTGTAAATCTTTTTTCCTTCTTTTCGGGGTTCTCTTTTCAGTGCTATAGACTAAGCTAGGAGATGGAATCGTAATCAATATAACTTGCTTTTTGACTAAATAATGTGCCGTAGATTGGTATCTATTTATACATAATATATAACAATTAATAATTATTTGTGCTTGAAGATACTATAAAAAAAAATCGCAATTAATTGATTGTGCCTATAAACACTACATAACTCAAAAACATGTCTAGTCTAAATAATATCAGTGCGTGAAGGTCTAAGCTGACACCCCACCAAGCTCTTCTATTTCTTAAACATACCTTCCAACATTACCGAGTTGGGACCATAACTCATCACTTACAACCCTTCTCCAACAAAAATCGTGGCCAAAAAAGCATAATCACAACCAATAGACAAAACTTATAAGCCTTATAGAGAAAACAAAATATTGTAAAATTAACCACAAATTATAGATTTTAAGAGAACAACTCAAATTTTCAAAAGAAAAAAAAAAATTATCATAGACAACCATTACCACCGGCCTACCACCATAACCTTCATCTGTGAACATTAGTTAAAAAATCTATTACTATACTACTTTAAAAAGCCGAAAAACTTTTTTTTCTAATTTTATCCTCTAACATCACAACTTTATCATCCATGTCCTCCGAACTTAATTCCTTCCCAGCAACCTAGCTAGTCGTTCACGTCTCCCTGTATTCCTACTTTCTCTTCCTATTTCCTCTCTCAAATTCACAGACCTAGGCTCTACTTTTCTCAGCTGTTACAGTCTCCCTCTCTTTCTCTCTCTCTCGCAAATTCACAGCCCCTTCTCTTCGTCTTCCCCTCTCCGTCTCTCTATGTCTTTTCTTTCTTGCATTTTCACAGACAGAGAATAGCACACTGCCCCCCTCTCAGTCTCTCTCTCACACAGTCATGGACCCCCCTTCACCGTCCCCCTCTCAGTCTCTCTCTCCCCAATTACATGTATTCAACTATAAAAATCAGTTGCCCATTATAGATTTCAACTCCCTCCAACTTTTTCTCCCTTCTCTCTCTCTCTCTCTCTCTCTCTCTCTCGTGAATTCACAGATCTTGATCTGGTGCTTTCTCTTCTTTGATTTTCTGTGTTGATCTATGTTCTATGTTGAAATTAAGTGTGAATATGATCTATGTTGAAATTAGGTGTTACATTTTTCTAATTTTTTTGAATTATCTATGTTTGGTTCAATCTCTGATTAGGTTTAATTAGGTTTTAGATTTTTCAGATTATTTTGATTCATTTATCTTTAATTTTCTCTGATTTCTGTGTTATGCACTGTTGAAGGGTGGCTATATTTTTTGATTTCTCTTATTTTTTTGATTTCTATATTTTCTCTGATTTTTCTTAATCTGAATGTGATGTACATTGTAATTAAACATGCTTGATTCTTTGGTTGCGATGTTCGGAATCTGAGTGTGATGTATATAATGATGGCAGGGCCATTTGAAATGTGTTTGTAGGCACTTACAGACCGAGAACTTGTTTTAACAGGTCAGTGGTTTTGGAACAACAATTTGTTTGGATCGATTCCTGATCTCAGTCCACTGAAGCAATTGGCAATATTGTAAGTTGTGAGCATCTTTTCTGTATTCCTGTAATCTTTCATCATACCATCCAAGAAAAAACATAAATGCAGTTTAAATGCAATTGGAGATATTGTAAGTTATCTGTTCCTTTTAAGCATGCAACAAATAAAATGATTGCAGCTCATATGCTTTCAGGAGTTACTTACATATGACTCCTTTGTTGTGTGGATTCTGTTTCTAACTATTCGGTTTTGTGGGACTTCAATACATCCATTTTTAGACAGAATGCAGTTTTTGATTTTTTATTAACTGCCTTTCATTGCAGACATTTGGAAGACAATCAACTCAGTGGGGGGATTCCTCAATCACTAGGAAACGTTGACAGCTTGCGCGAATTGTAAGTTCTACTCTTGTAAGAGAACAAGCTGACTTTGTGGACCTAAACTTTTTTATGTATATATCCAGTTGTTCATGATCTTACTACTAGGGATGCATCATTATGTAATCTTTCCTTTGTTATATTTCGATAATATTATTTTGTCTCTGTATGTTAGTTATACTATCTTCTTAACTATTTATGATTACTGGCATGGCTAGAACAACCCTAGGGCCCAGGGGGGCCATGAACCCTTCAAGTTTTCAAAAGCCCCCAATATATATAAGGTATTTCAAGTTGACCCGCAAGAGTAGTACAAAAATTGTGTTCTAATAGTAAAGGCGTAGTGACTAAAAGTCTCAAGAAGATCAGATAGTCACGAGTTTAAGTCTTAATAGTTATCGAAAGTGTAATACACATGGGACTACTGTGAGGTAAATACATACATTTTCACTTTTTTATCGTCACACTATATTTCAAATTGAGTAAAAATAGTTGAGTTATTTGATGAAATTAGGCTTAGATTGCACTAAAATTGTTGAATTACTGGGTGAATTGGTGTTAAAATTATTTATGATGTCATGAGATTGAATGAAATTTTGTGGTGCTAAAAAATTATGCAATAAAATAAAAATAACCTAATTGGTTGATGAATTGATTATAACCTAATGTGTGCATGTTTGTTGTCATGCATACACCCTTCTCTTATTTTTTTGTTTGCATGCTTACCCTGCTATGGGCGAGGGTCACATGAGTGATAGTTTAATCTTGCAACGTGAAAGTGCTCACCCTTTTGATTGGTGTTTTCAATAACTTGAGGCCGATTCATGTTGTTTGAACGTATAGTTTATTAGCTTTTCCAAAATATGCAATATAGAGATTGATAATAGATGATCAGGATTTGTGCTGGGGTTTACCAAGCATATACTATGCAGTATATTTTAATGAAACTATTGTCTTTGCTTTGGGATTCGACTACCTGTTGATCTTAATTCATCCCACAGCTTTGTATGGTGTGTCATTACTTGGGAGTTGCCATTTTTGTTCAATGAGATGCTGTTTCAGTTCTTACTTCGTTTGCCCCATGTGTGATTCTTTCTTTCGTGTTGGAGGTTTGATGGCTATTGTTTGAATGATTTTGCTTCTGTGTTGTTGTCTACCTTGCTCAAGCTTGACTCCCTCTAAATCTCTTTAATCATTAGTTTTATAGTTCTGCTTAGCAGCAATATAATCATTATTAACTTGATGGGGATTTTGTGTGTAGTTATATTATAAGAGCTTTTGTATGCAATACAGTTCATTGATATGTTGTTTTACGACACATGATGTGTTTTCAAATTCATGTATGTTTGCCAGTAACTGTTGAGGATGCTCATTCTTTGTATGAGTCGAGGCATTTTATTTGAGGTTGTTGCAAATTCTTTACATTTTAAGCGTTGCATAATTGGTGACAATTTCTGCTGCAAGGGCGGTGGTAGAGCTGGCTATGGTGGTGGTGGTGGGCGCAGTGATAATTATAGAGACGGTGGAGACTCAAGCCCAGATAGGCATTGTCACAGTGGAAACCGTTCACACCCATATTGAAGTTTAGTTGAGCAATTTATGTACTAAAATTTTGTGGTCAAAGTGATTTTATTATGTTTTGTTCGCGGGATTGTTCTCAAACTGGAGACTTAAGATGTCTTTTATCTTCTGCTGCCTGGTGGGGTTTAATTCTTAAGATTGAGATTGATTTGGATTGTGAATATTTTTATAGAGGCAAGTGGATAGTCTCCAAATTACTGCTAAGGTAGGTTGAAATTTTCAGGTGAGTGCTCGACAGTGATCAATTGGAGGTCGGAGCGACCTTGTCTTGCATTAAAGGTAAGAATTTCAGTCCTCTTTATCTTCAAGTGCTCGATTTAAACATGGCATTTAACATTTTACAGGGATTCAAAATGCTGACTGTGACACCCCAAAATCCGGGGGTCCCTTGTTAACCCGTTGATCACCCATCAACCTGTAGAAATACCCGTGAATGCTTTATGATCCGACACCACGACTTAATAATAAAAAGGTTTGGACAGGGTCTCCCTAGAACCGAAAACTCCCAATTGCTTAACCTGTGTACATCATAGTCACTAGACCCATCCAATGTCTAACACATCACAATTTATACTCCATTATGGTCCATTAACATCATTTAAATGAGGGAACACATAGCCTACAAGCATGTCAAAGTATTCTAAAAATTTCAGTTTTTTGGAAAACCTTATCATGCTTGTAGGCTTTGTGTTTCCTCATTCAAATGATGTCAATGGACCATAATGGAGTGTAAATTGTGATGTGTTAGACCTTGGATGAGTCTAGTGACTATGATGTGCACATGTTAAGCAATTGGGAGTTTCCGGTCCTAGGGAGACCCTGTCCAAACTTTTTTATTATTAAGCCGTGGCGTTGGGTCATACGGCATTCATGGGTATTTCTATGGGTTGATGGGTGATAAACGGGTTAACAAGGGACCCCCGGATTTTGAGGTGTCACACTAACAGTAATCTTCATGCTTTTTGTGCGTGCATGTGTGATCCTTGTTTTGGTTTGTTCAACTTGTTCTTTGTAAATGTGTTGGGTTCCAGGTAAAATGTTTTATTTTCTCCTTCCATAATCGAAAATGAAAGATGTTGTATTCTAGGAATTAAATTTATGGTCGAAATGGGTACTTTCATTTTTGGTAGCTCTCGAGTAATCCCCCCCTTTTTTCGTGGACAGTGATCATGGTTATAATTTGTAGATACTTCATCTGTTCTCTTCATCAATAGTTCCCAAATTTGTAGATTTTATACTTTTTTTAAAAACTCATGTGTTAGTTGCTTGACAAATTAATCTAGATTCAAATATAAATAGTATGCAAGAACTTAAATCTTGGGTTGAATTTCACAATGTTGTAGCTTCCGGATTGAGACATGCCTCTCTCGAGGTTTTGTTTTTTGATTGGCCTGAGTTTCATGCAGTTCAATGTTATTTAGTTAGTAAGAAATTTAATTTCTGGTCGCTGTTGATTTTTTGTACTATATGTAATGCCTACCTTGGTTACTGCTAGTTTTCAGAGAGCACTTGTGTATCTGATGCAAGTGAACGTGTACGAAAAAGCTGTCATAAAGTTTCATTGTTCGTACCATCGTCGACCCTATCTATGTTTCTACGATGGCCCAAGAACACGCTCATTCTTCAGCTGTACAGAAAATTTTGAATTGTGAGGTACCATTACGAGCTCAATACATACGAGTGTTATTCCGTGAAATAACTCGAATTTCAAATCATTTACTTGCTTTAACTACTCATGCTACGGATGTGGAAGCATCAACTCTGTTCAAATTTATTAGATCATTTGAACTCTTTTTGTTAGACCAATTTAAAATGTATTTAGTACAGACCTATTTCATTGTTCTTTAAAAAATAACAATATGGCAATGCAGCTTTTAAGATTTTTTGTTGCTATTGTTCTTATTCGCAGAAAATCTGGACTTCATACAAGAGCTGTTGTGGAATATCTTTACAGCAGATTTAATGGCTTTTATGGGTACAATAACAGACAAACAAATGGAAGGGCAAGTCTTTGAAAAAGTTCCAAACATTGTGCTTTATGATTGTCATCCGTAAAAGTTCCAAATTCTTCAAGAAATAAACAAATGACATTGATTTGAAACCTACAAATCCTTTGTTAATACAATACTAATATAATTATTGATCTCCGCTGGTTAATGAGTTTGGACAAGTATTTTAGTTGTGGAGGAGTAGCCTTCTCTTTTTTTTTTTCGCCCCCGATAAGTGGACGAATAGCCTTCTTACTATTTGCCTGGTATGCATTTCCCATATTTTTTGGTCAATAAGTGCATTGAACTTTACTGCCTTATACTTGTGTAACAGGATTTTGACAAATTTCCCCTTTCAATTAAAATGCCAATTCTTTCCATCAACAAAACACAATTGTATTTATGAAGGAAAAAAAAACCAGTTTGTTGTATTGAAACAAGTTTACAAAAATCTCTAATATCAACTATTATAGGCCACACTCAAAATGGTTCACGTGCAATGCACGTGTGCATCAACTAGTTTAGACAAACTTCTATGATTCCACTATTATAAAGTTAAACGATGACACATAGAAAATCATAAATAGAAATTCGAAGATAACAAATAGAAGAGTAGTGTGAAACAGAAAAGCTTACAATTATAACATTGCTAGAATGTACAAATAAGGCCTTCTCGGCTATTAAAAATGGAACAATCACAACTAGTTTAAACCAGTGGACTCAAAGCAACAAACTTAAAAAGTAGCCTAAAAGGGTTTCATTGATACATTTTACAAAGGTAAAGATATGTATCTATGGCTAATCAATGAACAAATGAACAATAGTATGATTCTTTTAAATACTCTCTAGTGAGCTTTTTCCTTTGTGAAACAAAACCGTCTATATCTCGTAAAAGATGACCTCTTATTTCTCTTCCTAAAACATAGCCCAATGAAACCAATAATCACCTGGCTCCGAAAATTTTTACAGAAAAAAAGAAATAATCACTTAATTTTTGGATTACATAGACAGATCCAAGAAAACTTATTTAATTGAATGAAATTAGTGTTGCAAATAATGAAGAACTACATTTTCTTTTGTTTACTTTTGGATGACAACACCATTGTTTTTTCATCCTCTCCAAAATTTTTGCCTTCTTCTCCAATTTCTCCTCCTGCCCATCATGAATAGATAATGTCAAAATAAAATTATCTCTGATATGTAAGGCCTTTTCTATTTCATTATACCTTGCTAGAAAATAAAAAAAGATTTAGCTCAACCCGTGGAGTTACTTTCAACCCTGTACCTTTCATGTGGCAAATCAATCATAAAACCAAAGAGATTCAATTATAATTTTATTTATTTCCAGAGTACTTAGGTTTGAGTTGTGAGAGAAAGTGAGAGAGAGAGAGGGTAGGGGCTGTGGGTAGTGTGAAGAGGTGTAATTCAAAGAGATAGAGAGAGAGAGAGAGATTTGATAAAGTTGAGAGATGGTTGTATGTGTGAGAGAGAGGTAGAAGAGAGATGAGACTCTAGCGTTGAAAATGGAACAAAACTCTTAGTCCAATTCTTGGGCGGTAGAAAAAATTTGGAAATTAATTAAGATTGTCGGATTAATAATCTTGAAATGATTTGAGATGTTTGAATGATTTTATAAGTTTGGGAGTTTGAAATTCTTTATACTTTATTATATAGATGTAGTTGACTTGAATGAGCTCCAAAAATTTATCCAAGTTTTCTTGAACTTTTTTATTTTTCACATTGACACATTTTTGATTTGGTTTTTTGTCATTGACCAGAAGCAGCAGCCCAACTCAGAAAAATTAAAATTCATAGAACTCACCCTATGAGAACATTAATACAACGATCACCTTAGGCTCAGAAGCACTATGTAACCTTGGGAAAAAAACCATGGAATGTTAAATTTGCAAGGATTTCTCTCTTGAACACTCTGTGATTAATTTTTTTGGTCCCCTACACATATCTCTACCCATTTTTGTTTTGGGAGGGGGAAAAATTGTGTAGATCTCTTCTCATGATTATACATGTGGAGTGCATGACATTACTCAGAGGGAGAAATGGTGAATAGGCTTTTCAATTTTAAGTACAATTTATTACCAATTAAAACTTAATTCTATCTCAATTGCCTCTTTTTATGTAGATATAGTAATTGACAGTGAGAACCCATTTTAGTCACCACGTAGAAACCAACCTATGATGGTTGATGTTAATTAATTGTTCAATTGATTCACTCAAACAATCAATCTCACGATGATCCCAAAATTCAAAACCCAAACGCAACTATGGAGGAATAGATGTCAATCAATCATTCATACAAATACGTAGTGCGCGTGTGTGCTAACAAATGCAAGTGTATATGTAAATAAACAAGATGAACACAAGTAAGTTATTGATACGAAAAACTCTCATCGGGAAAAATCGTGGGGGAACCACTCGGGGTTCGCCAAAAGCCTAATCTACAACTCTCAAAGTTAATCTATAAGCACTCAAGTCTTATATCTCAACCAATATCATAGTTAGATGCTCATTTCCTTCGTAGATCTCTCCACCAAAGGCCCTCATTCAACGTCTTGTGTAGCTTCATTTGAGTTTCCTGCCAAATAGTTTGTTTAAACTTCAAGCTTTCATAGGTACGCCAACGATTCTCGGTATGTACATACCAATAGGTTTGTCAAACCATCAAAATCTTCAACTCCAAGTTGTGAGCTTGGGTAGAATCTCTAGTGGCAGTCTTGGGTCTTAGGAATCTAGGATTGTGGTGGAAGCTCTCTAAGTTGCAGATGAGTTTTTGCTCTCAAAAGGCTTACAAGAGGCTTATACTAGCTAAAGAAATGACTCTCCCTATACCAATTTATAGGTTTAGAAGGGTAATGTTGGTCAACAAGAAAACCCAGATTTGTGAACGACCATTCGAGCAGTGGGAGGGTGGTTATAGGGCAATTGTCACTAGAATGAAAATCATGTTTCAAACTTGACTGAGGAGCACCATGAGACCTCTCACTACAACAAAAATTATTTTTTGCGACGTTTATATTTTCGTCGCAAAAATGAACTTTCCGAGAAGCTTTCATAATTTTCTCGCAAAAACTGATTTTGGCAAAAAATTTCGCGACGTTTTTTAAAAAATGTCGCAAAAAGGTATTTCCCACCAAATTTTTTTTGGCGCAAGAAAAATGGCGGGAGTTGATATTTTTTGCGACAAAATTTGTTTGTCGCGGATAGTTTACTTCGTCATAAAAAAAATATTAAAAATTAACAATAAAAATAAACTAAAAATATTTAATTAGCGACATTTAATATTATTGTTGTCGAATATAAAATTTAATTAATATTAATTTGCGACGTTTTTAAATATTTTGTCGGGAATATGTATTTTTTCTCGACGTTTTCATAAATGAGCGCAGAATATAATTTTTTTATTAAATAACATTATTATTTCGCGACGCTTTAATATTCATCGAAAATTAGAATTTAATTTTCAATTAGAATTAAAATATTAATTGTGATGTGTTAATTTTGCATCGCAAAAAACTAAATTTTTCGCGACAATTTTATAGTTTTGTCACAAATAGTGTATTTGACAATTTTTTACGACGTTTTACAAAAACGTCGTGACAAGGTGATTCGCACCAAATTTTTGGCGCGTGAAAAGGGCTTGAATCGGTGTTTTTGCGCGACGTTTTCAGAAAGTCGTTGCAGAATATAATTTTTATTTTATATTAAATAAAATTATTAATAATTTTCAATTTTAAATTATAAATTAGAATTAAAATATTAATCGCGACGTTTTGTGTTTGTCGCAAAAAATTAAATTTTCCGCGACGATTTTATATTGTTGTCGCAAATAGTTTATTTGACATTTTTTGCGACGTTTTTTAGAAAACGTCACGAAAAGGTGATTCCCAACAAAAACATTTTTGCGTGAAAAAGATCAGAACCCGACGTTTTTATAAATTCGTCGCAGAATATAATTTTTATTTGATATTAAATAAAAATATTATTAATTTTAAATTTGAATTAAAATATTAATTGCAACATTTTTAGAATTTGCGCGACGATTTCATATTTTTGTCGCAAATAATTTATTTGACAGGTTTGTAGAAAACGTCGCGAAATGGTGATTCCCACCAAAATTTATTGGCTCGAGAAAAGGGCGGGAGTTGAAAATTTTTTGCGATAATTTTTTTTTTGTCGTGGATAGTTTCAATTCGTCACAAAAAAATAATNAAAAATATTTAATTAGCGACATTTAATATTATTGTTGTCGAATATAAAATTTAATTAATATTAATTTGCGACGTTTTTAAATATTTTGTCGGGAATATGTATTTTTTCTCGACGTTTTCATAAATGAGCGCAGAATATAATTTTTTTATTAAATAACATTATTATTTCGCGACGCTTTAATATTCATCGAAAATTAGAATTTAATTTTCAATTAGAATTAAAATATTAATTGTGATGTGTTAATTTTGCATCGCAAAAAACTAAATTTTTCGCGACAATTTTATAGTTTTGTCACAAATAGTGTATTTGACAATTTTTTACGACGTTTTACAAAAACGTCGTGACAAGGTGATTCGCACCAAATTTTTGGCGCGTGAAAAGGGCTTGAATCGGTGTTTTTGCGCGACGTTTTCAGAAAGTCGTTGCAGAATATAATTTTTATTTTATATTAAATAAAATTATTAATAATTTTCAATTTTAAATTATAAATTAGAATTAAAATATTAATCGCGACGTTTTGTGTTTGTCGCAAAAAATTAAATTTTCCGCGACGATTTTATATTGTTGTCGCAAATAGTTTATTTGACATTTTTTGCGACGTTTTTTAGAAAACGTCACGAAAAGGTGATTCCCAACAAAAACATTTTTGCGTGAAAAAGATCAGAACCCGACGTTTTTATAAATTCGTCGCAGAATATAATTTTTATTTGATATTAAATAAAAATATTATTAATTTTAAATTTGAATTAAAATATTAATTGCAACATTTTTAGAATTTGCGCGACGATTTCATATTTTTGTCGCAAATAATTTATTTGACAGGTTTGTAGAAAACGTCGCGAAATGGTGATTCCCACCAAAATTTATTGGCTCGAGAAAAGGGCGGGAGTTGAAAATTTTTTGCGATAATTTTTTTTTTGTCGTGGATAGTTTCAATTCGTCACAAAAAAATAATAA